AGTTTTGTCTTCCCAGTGTCCCTTCAGCCTCCACTGTAAATACTTCCTGAAATCTCATGTTGAGCTCCTTACATACTTCTTGTTCGTTTCCTGTGAGCTCCCCACCTTCTTTCCTCAGCCTGATCACCTAGCCCTTGACTGTTGTCTTCCTCCTGATGTGGCTATAAAGCAGTTTCGGGTCAGACTTGACTTTTGATGCTATGTCATTTTCATACTGCTGCTGGGCCTCCCTCCTTATCTGTGCATGCTCGTTTCTGGCTCGTTGACTAATCTCTTTATTTTCCTGAGTCCTTCGCCTTCTGTACTTTTTCCATTTTTTAGGGCGCTTAGTTTTTGCCTCCCTACACCTTCTGGTAAACCAAGGGCATGTTCTGTCCTTCCCATTATTTATGTTGCCCTTGGGAACAAACCTTTCCACTACCTCCTTGCATTATGTTGTTACGTAGTCTATCATTTCATTTACTGACCTTCCTAACTCTCGTTCCCACTGAACCTCCTGCAGGAAGGTCCTCATACCTGTGTAGTCGCCCCTTTTATAGTTTGGCTTTTCTCTTTCTACTCTTGTTACCCTCTCCAGTTGAAGCTCCATGATGTATTCAAAGCTCATAACCACATGGCCACTAGCTGCAAGGGGCCTTTCATATGTGATGTGCTCAATGTCTGAGCTACTCAGGGTGAACACAAGGTCCAGTCTTGCCGATTCATCCTCCCCTCTCTTTCTGGTAGTGTCCCTAACATGTTGGTGCATGAGGTTTGCCAGTACCACATCCATCATTTTAGCTCTCCATGTTTCGGGACCCCCATGTGGCTCCAGGTTTTCCCAATCAATCTCCCTGTGATTGAAGTTGCCCATGACCAGTAACTTCGCTCTACTTGAGTGAGCCCTTCTTGCCACCTCAGCTAGTGTCCACCATTGCTCTGTTGCATTCACCATATTCTTCTCTTGGTCTCCTGCAGTTCTGTGGTGGGTTATAAATCACTGCAATAACTACCTTGTTCCCCTGACTGAACTGTACCTACTATGTAATCCCTTTCTCCAATCTCGTCCATACCTTCCATTTCTTGATAACTCCACCGGTTTTTTATTAGTAGTGCAACCCCTCCTCCCCCCCCTGCTCCTATCCTTCCTCAGGATCTGATATCCGGGTGGGAAGATTGCATCTATTTTCTTGTGTGTGTGTGTGTGTGTGCACGTGCACGCATGTTGTGAGTGACATACACACGTCCACATACCCATGATATATCATTGGTATATGGGAGTGTACACATACACATTATGGGTGAGTGTACACACACATGCCCATCATGGGTATTTGAGTGTACACACACACATCATGGGTATGTGAGTGTACACACACACACATCATGGGTATGTGAGTGTACACACACACATCATGGGTATGTGAGTGTACACATGCACATCATGGGTATGTGAGTGTACACACATACATCATGGGTATGTCAGTGTACACACACACATCATGGGTATGTGAGTGTACACACACACATCATGGGTATGTGAGTGTACACACACACATCATGGGTATGTGAGTGTACACACACACACACATCATTGGTATGTGGGAATGTATGCACACACATCATGGGTATGTGTGTACATACACACATCATGGATATGTGAGTGTGCATACATCATAGGTATGTGAGTATACATAAACACATCATGGGTATGTGAGTGCACACACACATCATGGTTATGTGGGAGTGTACACACATCATGGGTATGTGGGTGTACACACACATCATCATGGTTATGTGGGAGTGTACACACACATCATCATGGTTATGTGGGAGTGTACACACATCATGGGTATGTGGGAGTGTACACACACATCATCATGGTTATGTGGGAGTGTACACACATCATGGGTATGTGGGAGTGTACACACACACACATCATGGGTATGTGACTGTACACACACACATCATGGGTATGTGGGAGTGTACACACACACACATCATGGTTATGTGGGAGTGTACACACACACATCATGGGTATGTGGGAGTGGCAAGAAGGGCACACATGGTAGGGTATATATATAACCTACCTGGGCACAGCACTGACTCTCTCTCCTCACACCACCACACTAACCTGGGCACTGAAGGAGTGCCAAGCTCACTACCAGTGCCAACCCTCCCACACCTGCACTCACACACTCTACAACACTCCCACACCAGCTACAACACTCCCACACCAGCTACAACACTACCACACCAGCTACAACACTCCCACACCAGCTACGACACTCCCACACAAGTTACAACACTTGCACGCTTGAGCTCCCACACCTGGTACAACACTCTCACCCTAGTTACAACACTCCCACACAAGTTACAACACTCCCAAACCTGCAACCACACTGTATACAACACTCCAAAACCAGCTGCAACAATCCCACACTTGCACCTACACTGTCTACAACACACCCACAACAGCTACAATACACCCACACCTGGTACAACACTCCTACCCAAGCTGCAACACTCCCACACCAGTTACAACACTCCCACATCTGCACTCACACTATCTACAACACTCCCACACTTGCACCAAGAATGTTTACAACACTCCCACACTATTGCAATACTCCCACACCTGCACCCACACTGTTTACAACACTTCCACATCACTTACAACACTCCCACACCAACTACAACACTGCCACACCAGCTACAACACTACCACACCAGCTACAACACTCCCACACCAGCTACAACACTCCCACACCAGCTACAACACTACCATACTGTCTACAATATTGCCACACCAGCTACAACACTCCCACACCAGCTACAACACTCCCACACCAGCTACAACACTACCATACTGTCTACAATATTGCCACACCAGCTACAACACTCCCACACCAGCTACAACACTCCCACACCAGCTACAACACTACCATACTGTCTACAATATTGCCACACCAGCTACAACACTCCCACACCAGCTACAACACTCCCACACCAGCTACAACACTCCTATACTATTTACAAAACTCCCACACCGTCTACAACACTCCCATACTATCTGTAACACTTCCATATCACCTACAACACTCCAAACACCATCTACAACACTTCATCACCCCGTGCAACACTACCATAACATCTACAACACTAAAACGTCATCTACAACACTCCCACTGTCACCACCACCACTGGCATGCTGGCACCACTCCTGGCATCTGGCACTACTCCTGGCATCCTGGCGCCACAACTGGTATCCTGGCACCATTACTGGTACCCTTGAACCTCCAATGGCACCCTGGCACCGCCACTTTCATCCTGGCACCACCACTAACATCCCAGCACCACCACGGGCACCCTGGCACAACCACTGGCATCCTAGCACCACCACTGGCATCTTGGCACCATCATGGGCACCCTGGCATAACCACTGGCACCCTGGCACCACCACGAGCACCATGGCACAGTCACTGGCATCCTGGCACCACAACTAGCATATTGACACCACCACTGCCACCCTGGCACCACCACTGCCACACTGGCACTACTACTAGCACCCTGGCACCACCACTGTCATCCTGGCACTACCACTAGCATCCTAACACCACCACTGTCATCCTGGCACCACCACTGGTATCCTGGCACCACCACTGGCACCCTGGCACCACCATTGGTATTACAGCACCACCAGTGACACCCTGGCATCCCTGCACCACGAATGGCATCCTCGCACTACCATGGGCATGTTGGTACCATCACTGGCATCCTACCACCACTGGTATCCTGGCACCACCACTGGCGCCCTGGCACCAGCACTATAACCTCGACAGCACCATTGGCACCCTGGCATGACCACTGCCATCCTGGTACCAACACTGGTATCCTGGCACTGCCACTGGCATCCAGGCAAAAATCACTAGTACCATGGCACCACCAATGGCATCCTGGCACCACCACTAGCACCCTGACAATACCATTGGCACCCTGGTACTGCCACTGGCATCCTGGCACCACTTCTGGCACCATGGCACCACCATTAGCACCAACACTGGTATCCTGGCACCACCACTGGCATCCAGGCACCACGACTGGCACCACCATTGGTATTACGGCACCACCAGTGGCACCCTGACATCCCTGCACGACGAATGGCATCCTCACACCACAACGGGCATGTTGGTACCATTACTGGCATCCTAGCACCACCACTGGTATCCTGGCACCACCACTGGCGCCCTGGCACCAGCACTATAACCTCGACAACACCACTGGCACCTTGGTGCCACCATTGGCACCCTGGCACGACCACTGGCATCCTGGTACCAACACTGGTATCCTGGCACTGCCACTGGCATCCAGGCAAAAATCACTAGTACCATGGCACCACCAATGGCATCCTGGCACCACCACTAGCACCCTAACAACACCACTGGCACCCAGGTACTACCACTAGCATCCTGGCCCCACCACTGGCATCCTGGCACGACCAGTGGCATTCTGTCACCATCACCACTAGCACTCTGGCACCACCACTAGCACCCTGACTCCACCACTGGCACGCTGACACCACCACTGGCACCTTGATACCTCCACTTGCACCCTGGCACCATCAATGGCGTCCTGGCACCACCACTGGATTCCTAGCACTACCACTGGTGTCCTGGCACCACTAGTACCCTATCACCATCACTGGCACTATCTTTAGCACCCTGGCACCAACTCTAGCACCCCAGCACAATCTATAGCATCATGGAACCATCTCTAACATCCTGACACCACCACTAGCACCCTATTACCATCACTAGCACCCTGGCACCACCACTGGCACCACCACTGGCACCACCACTGGCACCCTGTTACCATCACTAGCACCCTGGCACCACCACTGGCACCACCACTGGCACCACCACTGACACCACCACTAGCACCCTATTACCATCACTAGCACCCTGGCACCACCACTGGCACCACCACTGGCACCCTGACACCATTACAACACTGGTACTCACAGGCCTGCAAGACTCGATGCCGCCAGAGCCAAAGAAATACTCTCTGCCATAAGCGACGACGCCAGTGTGCCAGATCCCTTCTATTTGTTTGCCTGTGAGGGAGTATAACGTGTTATCAACACTACCCATTATGTAACATTTATTATTATTATTATTATTATTATTATTATTATTATTATTATTATTTTATTATATTATTATTATTATTATTCGTAGTAGAAGTAATAGTATATTAACACTATCTGCTTGCCTGTCAGGGAATATAACATGTTATCAACATTGTGTTATGTGACAAAATATCTTTCATGGCATACTGGCCATTTACCACCAAGGCAGGGTGACCCAAGAAAAGAAGAAACACTTTCATCATCACTCACTTCATCACTGTCTTGCTAGACGTGTGCTGAAACTACAGCTTGAAAACTGCAGCATATCTTCACCCCTCCTTCAGAGGGCAGGCACTGTACTTCCCACCTACAGAACACAAGTCTAGCTAACTGGTGTCCCTGAATCCTTTCATAAATATTACCTTGCTCACACTCCAACAGCATGTCAAGTGATAAAAGCCACCTGCCTCCACTTGCTATCTCACAGGCTTGCTCACACTTGCTGGAAGTCTAAGCCCCTCACACACAAAACCTCCTTTATCCCCTCCCTCCAACCTTTCTTAGAACGACCACTATCCCATTTCCTTCCACTTCAGATTTATATGCCCTCCAATTCATTCTCCGTTCCATCCTCTCTAAATGTCCAAACCACCTCAACAATCCTTCCTCTGTCCTCTGGATAATACTTTTAGTAACCTTGCATTTCATCCTAATTTCCAAAGTATGGATTCTCTGCATTATATTCACACCACACACTGCCCTCAAACACAACATTCCCACTGCCTTCTCCTTGTTGCAACATTCATTACCCATGCTTCAGACCCACAGAAGGCATTGGTATGAATATACTCTCATACATTCCCCTCTTTGCTTCCATGGAAAACATTCTTTGTTTCCAGAGACTCCTCAATGCACCACTCACCTTTTTCCTCTCATCAATCCTGTGGTTCTCTTTTATCCCCTTGTTAATTCTATGGTTCACCCCATCTTTCATAGACTCATCTGCTGACAAGTCCACTCCCAAATATCCAGTCTTTCATTTCCTAAACTTTTTATCCTCATCACCTTGGTCTTTCCTATGTTCACTTTTAATTCCCTTCTTTCACATACTGTACAAACTTGTCCACCAACCTCTGCAACTTCTCTTCAGAATCTCCCAAAAGCACAGTGTCATCAACAGAAAGCAATTGTGACACCTCCCACTTTGTATTAGATTCCTTATCTTTTAATCCCATACCTGTTCCTAACACCCAAGCATTCACTTCTTTAACAACCCCATCTATAAATATGATAAACAACCAAGGAGATATCATGCATCCAAGGCCTACTTTTGCTTGAAAATCTCTCTTTCTCCTTCATTCTCTAACTTGAGCCTCACTATCCTCGTAAGAACTCTTAACTGCTTTCAGTAACCTACCACCTATTCCATACACCTGCAACATCTGCCACACTGCTGCCCTATCCACCCTATCATATGCCTTTTCCAAATCTATAAATGCAACAGAAACCTCTTTACCCTTATCTAAATACAGCTTACTTATATGCTTCACTGTAAACACTTGGTCTACACATTTAACCTTCCTAAAGCCTCCTTGTTCATCTGCGAGCCTGCTCTCCAATTATGTACTCTTAATTCTTTCAATAATAACTCTACTATAATCAGCAAGCTTATTCCCCTATAATTCTTAAACTCTCTTTTGTCTCCTTTGCCACTGTACAAAGGCACTACACTCTATACTCTGTGACACTTGAGGTATGCTCAAGACACATTCCTTTAAGACAAAAGAAGAGAAGATGTAAACTAGAAAGAGAGAGACACACTCCCTCTACAGGTGAAGGCAAAGAATCACAGAGCTGCTGAAAGGGGCCAGTATAACTGAAATATGTAATGGGGCACTGGCCACTGGTCAGAGAAATAGAAAAATATCGAACTTAAGCTTAAGGAATCATACAGGAGCCAAAACACACAGGAAGAACTTAAAGCTATAAATGAAATTAAAAAAAAAAAATTTCCTATGCCAAATCTAGTGCAAAAACCACATCCAGTATTGAGTCACTGCTTAAACAAGATGGGACATACACAGATGACAGCAAGGAAGTGAGATACCAAAGTCCGGTATGACTCAGCATTTTGTGAGCTGTTAATCAAACTTAGGGTTGACGATCTAAATTAATTTTTTATGACCAAGTCCCAAAATTTGGCTATTTCAAGAATTTCTCATATAATCCTAACACCACAGGCTTATGAAAAAACAATAAATAACATGGCCATGCACTCTGCTGCAGGTCCAGTCTTCATCAAGAACTGCAAGAAACACTTTTTATATGCCTTAAATATTCTATGGAAAGGCAGCAGAGACACAGTTGTCAGCCCACAGTCACTAAAAACAACAGATATTGCCCCACTCCACAAAGGTGGAAGGAAAACAATTGCAAAGAATTACAGGTTGACAGCACTAACATCCCACATCATAAAAATCTTTGAAAGGGTCCTAAGAGGCAAGATTGCCAACAACTTGGATACCCATCAATTGCACAACCCAGGGCAGCATGGGTTTAGAACAGGCCGCTCCTGTCTCTCACAGCTACTGGACCACTATGACATGGTCTGGGATGCACTGGAGGACAAACAAAATGCATATGTAGTATACACAGACTTTGCAAGTGCAATTATGGTTTAATAGCACACAAAATGCCTGATAAAAGAATAACAGGAAAAGTTGGTAGATGGATCTATAACTTCCTAACAAATAGAACACAAAGAATAATAGTAAATAAAGTAAAGTTAGAGGCGGCTACAGTGAAAAGCTCTGTTCCACAAGGTACAGTACTCGCCCCCATCCTTCTCCTCATCCTCATATGTGACATAGACAGAGATGTAAGCCACAGCACCATGTCCTCCTTTGCTGATGATACTAGAATTTGCATGACAGTATCATCAATCAATGACACTGAAAATCTCCAAGTGGACATTAACAAAGTCTTTAAATGAGCCTCAGAAAACAATGTGAAGTTCAATGAAGACAAATTTCATTTACTCCGGGTAATGAAGTATAAAACAAATTCCAATCACAAAATAGAGCAAAAAACTAATGTGAAGGACCTGGAAGCAATAATGTCAGACACTCTCTCTTTCAAAGTTCACAACAATGTATCTACCACATCTGCTAGGAAAATGATAGGATGTCTAATGAGATCCTTCAATGCTAGAGATACCAATCACTTGTTGTCTCTAGGCTAGAATATTGCTGCACACTAATGGCCCGTTTCAAGGCAGGCAAAACTGCAGACCTGGAGAATACACAGAGAATTTTCACTGTGCGTATAAATACAATAACGCACCTAAATTACTGGGAACAGTTATAGTCCCTTGACCTGTACTCCTTGGAATGCAGGCAAGAAAAATGCATGAAAATATACACTTGGCAAATCATAGAGGAACTAGTCCCAAATCTGCACGATGAAATCACTCCCTAAGAAAGCAAGACTCGGCAGGTGGTGCAACATAACCCCAATGAAAAGCAGGCATGCCATGCGTACGATAAGACAGCACAATAAGTGTCATGGGCCCAAGACTATTCTACTGCCTCCCAGCATACATTAGGGGGATTACCAATAGATCACTGGCCGTCTTCAAGAGGGAGCTAGACAGACACATAAAGTCAGTACCTGACCAGCCAGGTTGTGGTTCATATGTCAGTTTGTACACAGCCAGCAGTAACAGCATGGTTGATCAGGCCCTGTTCCACTGCAAGACATAGTTATAGAGTCATGGAGTGTTGACTCTCGGAATACCCTCCGGGCAGGCTCTCCGTCAATCCGTAGTACCTTTCCCTCTCTCATACATTTATTAAATGAACTATATCCCCACCTGCTTTTAACATTTCTGTCCTGATCCATCAATCCCAGCTGCTTTACCCAGAGCCTCATGCACATCCCCACATTCACATCTGGCTCTTCTTCACTCCTAAAAGATGTTATACATCCTTGGCAAATGCATAAAATCACAGCTTTTCTACGTTCATCAACATTTAACAGTTCCTCAAAATATCCCTTTCATTCTCCTGATACCTCCAACTCTGCATCTAATTACTCTGTTCTATTTTTAACTATCAAATCCATAAGTTTTCTAGGCTTTCTCAATTTATTTTCACCCCAAAACTTTTCTTATTCTCAGCAAAATTTGTTGACAGCATCTCACCCATTCTCTCATTTGCTCTCCTTTTACATCCCTTCACTACTCTCTTAGCCTCCCTCTTTTCTCTCCATATACAGTGACCCCCGGTTAACGATATTTTTTTAATCCAGAAGTATTCAAGGGCCAAGTACTGACCGAATTTGTTCCCATAAGAATATTGTGAATAATTAGTCCAATTCAGACCACCCAAAACACTACAAACGCACTTACATAAATACACTTACATAATTGTCGCATCGAGAGGTAATCGTTGCGGGCTCCACTGTAATTCTCCCACTAATGCCAGCTTTCTAATTGGTGAAAACCTGCAGATAGCTAAGATTTTTCCACTTCGTTTAATATCACATACGCACTACTCTACTGGGACCATTTTCCTTGACAGTACTCTCGAATCAGGCAAAAATGCATGAAAACATACACTTGGCAAATCATAGAGGAACTATCCCAATCTGCACGATGAAATCACTCCCTAGAAGCAAGACTCGGCTGGTTGCAACATAACTCCCACTGAAAAGCAGGCATGCCATGACGTACATAAGACGCACAATAAGTGTATGGGCCCAAGACATTCTCCGGGCTCCCAGCATACATCTAGGGGGATTACCAATAATCACTGGCCTACTTCAAGAGGGAGCTGACGAACACCAAAGTCATACCTGATCCTACCCAGGTTTGTTACATATTCCAGTTAGTACACAGCCAGCAGTAACAGCATGGTTGATCAGGCCCTGATCACGCCAAGACATAGTTATAGAGTCATGGAGTGTTGACTCCGAATACACCTCCC